AATATTTTACTATGGAAATAAAGAAATACAGTGCTTAAGTGGCTCACACCCAAAACCCAATTACACCCAAAACTCTCTCACACTTTCACTTTCTATATTGAGTAAACACTTTTCAATTGTTGGATGATTAAAACACCATAGGAGCAAGGCTATTTATAACCAAAATGTCATCACTGTTTGTGAACTTGGAGAACACGCATAGGGAAGCTTGCTAAATACAATTCTCGGAGGCCAAGTTGATGATGCAGCAAATGATGTAATGGGTGATGAAAAAATAACTTGCTGAGTTGGCAGAATTTGAGCCATGAATTCAACAAATCTCCACCTTGGTAAAAATTCAAATGATCCACTGTATCTTTGCAAAACAAACTGTCTTCTCCACTAAGCCCCTAAGGGCAATTTCAACATTTGAGAATACCAACCAAGTCTAAGCAATGTTTGAACTTGGAGCCGGAATGGTCTTTGTTATCATATCCGTCGGATTTTCAACTGTGCCAATTTTCTTCAATGTAGTAATTCCTTCTGATATGACATCCTGAATAAAATGATATCTGACATCAATGTGTTTGGTTCTCTCATGATACATTTGATTTTTGGTCAGATATATTGCACTCTGGCTGTCACAATAAATAACAGTTGAGCTCTGCTGCAAACCCAAAACACTAACCAAACCTCTCAACCAAATGGCTTCCTTCATTGCTTCAGTGGCCGCCATATATTCTGCTTCAGTAGTAGAAAGAGCAACTGTAGATTACAAAGTTGCTTTCTAACTAACTGCACAACCTGAGAGAGTAAAAACGTATCCTGTTAGAGATCTTCTTCTGCTAAGATCACCAGCGTAGTCGAAGTCCACAAAACCAACAACATTGCTAAAATCATTACTGCTCTTCTGATAAACTAAGCCAATATCTGCAGTACCTTTCAAATATCGAAGAATCCACTTCACGGCTAGCCAATGCTTTTTTCCTGGATTATCCATATATCTACTAACTACACTGACTGCATGTGAAATATTAGGGCGAGTGCAAACCATTGCATACATCAAGCTATCAATTGCACTAGTATAAGGAACACGTGACATGTGCTCCTTCTCCTCTTCGGACTGTGGTGATACAGCTGCAGAAAGACGAAAATGAGCGGCAAGTGGTGTGCTCACAGGCTTGGAATTCTGCATGTTGAACCACTTAAGCACTTTCTCAATATAACTCTTCCGTGACAAACTCAATCTACCAGCTTGACGGTCCCTCTGAATTTCCATGCCCAAAAACTTCTTCGCTGCACCGAGAACTTTCATCTCAAAGTCAGTATTCAACTAGGATTTTAACTTGTTGATTTCTAACATATCTTTCATAGCAATAAGCATGTCATCAACATATAACAACAAGTATACAAAAGAACCATCTGAGAGCTTTCGGTAATAGACACAACTGTCATAGCCACTTCTCAAATAGCCATGTCCAACCATAAAAGTGTAGAACCTCTTGTACCACTGCCTTGGAGATTGCTTCAACCCATACAAGGATTTCTTCAACAAACAAACGTGGTCTTCCTTTTCCTGAACAATGAACCCCTCTTGCTGATGCATATAAATTTCTTCTTCAAGCTTACCATGTAAAAAATCTGTTTTGACATCAAGTTGCCCAAGCTCCAAGTTAAATTGAGTAACCATGGCAAGTAACACGCGGATAGAGGTGTGTTTCACAATTGGTGAGAATACTTCATTGAAGTCCACACCTTCTCTCTAACTATAACCTTTTGCCACCAAACGTGTTTTGTACCTTGCATCTTCAACACTTGGAGTTCCATCCTTTTTCTTGAAGACCCATTTGTAACCAACAATCTTCTGGCCTTTAGGAGGTTTCACCAACTCCCATGTCTGATTCTTGTGAAGAGATTCAATCTCCTCAGTCATAGCAACAGTCCACTTGACAGATTCATTTCCTGTAGCAACTTCTTGGTAGGTGAAAGGCTCTTTATCTTCAATATTTTCTGCAATAGACAAAGCATAGGTAACTAAATCTGCATAAGCATACCTCTTAGGAGGTTCAATCTACCTTTTCTGTCTCCCTGTAGCAATACTGTACTATTGCTCATTTGGTACTTGATCATCTTGCACCTCTTCAACATCGGGCTGAATTGGAGTGTTGACTTGTTTCTCTGGAGCTTCAAAGTCATGCTCCACCTGCTGCTTAACACCCTGGGATTCACCTGTAACAAAAGACTCCTTTCTCGGGTGAAATAAAGCAAACTCATCAAAAGTAACATCTCTGCTGGTAATAAATTTAGGTAACTTAGGATCAGGATACCACAACCTGTATCCCTTCACCCTAGATGCATAGCCAATAAAAATACATTTCTTGGCTCTACGCTCAAGTTTTCCTTCATTAACTTGAGCATAAGCAGGACATTCAAAAACTCTTAAATTAGAATAATCAGCAGGAGTACCAAACCATGCCTCTTCAAGTGTTTTGCACTCAATAGTAGTCGATGGTGACCTGTTCAACAAATAACAAGCTGTGTTGACTACTTCAGCCCAAAATCCCTTAGACAACCCAGCATTAAAAAGCATATAATGAGCTCTTTCCAAAAGAGTTCTATTCATGCGTTCTATTCATGAGCTCTGTTGTGGAGTCTTTCGAACTGTATGGTGTCTGACAATGCCTTCATTACTGGAGAACTCATCAAACTCTCCTGAGCAAAATTCTAAATCGTTATCTGTTCTGAGACGCTTGATCTTCTTTCCGGTCTGCTTTTCAATCATGGCCTTCCACTACTTAAACTTAAAGAACACTTCATGTTTTTGCTTCAAGATATAGATCAAAACTTTCCTGGAGAAGTCATCAATGAAAGTCAACATATATCGAGAACCATCAAGAGAGAGAACTCTGAAAGGACCCCAAAGATCTGAATGAATATAATCAACTATGCCCTTGGTCCTGTGAACAGCTGTACTGAACTTAAGTCTTTTCTGCTTGCCAAAGACACAATGCTTGCAAAAGTCCAGCTTTCCTGTCTTCTGTCCACCTAGCAAACCTCGTTTGCTTAATTCTGTCAAACCCCTCTCACTCATTTGCCCTAAACGCATATGCCATAAATGGGTAGTTTCTGAATCTTGATCAACTGAAGAAGATACTGAAGCAACACCTGTCATAATACTGCCCCGCAAAAATAGAGGCCTTTTCTCTGTTTTCCCTTAAGCATAGTAAGAGCACCTTTAGAAACTCTCAAAACTCCACCTTCAGCTAAAAACTTGTAACCATTAAAGTCAAGAGTACCAAGAGAAATCAAATTCTTTTTCAAATTTGGAACATGCTGAACATCAGTTAAAGTTCTAACAATACCATCATGCATCTTAATTTGGATTATGCCTATGCCAACAGTCTTACAGGGATTGTCATTCCCCATTAAGACAGTACCACCATCAACAGAATGGTAAGTAAAAAACCAGTCCCTATTGGGACACATGTGATATGAATAACCAGAATCAAGAACCCATTCACTACTGGAGTGACAGTCACTGACAGAAACTAAAAGAACATTTTCGACATCCGAGGAACTTTCCTCAGTAACCCCAGCAATATCAGAATAATTACTAGTGGATTTATCCTTAGACTCCTTTTTATCCCTTTTAACTTTCTTCTTATTTTTCAATTTTGGACAATTCAACTTAATGTGCCCTTTTTGGTGACAATAATAATATTTAGTATCTTTATGAGACCTAGATTTAGATTTTGATTTACCCCTACTACCAGAGCCCTTTTTCTCACTTCGTCCCCTCATAATCAAACCCTCGGCCTGTTCATCTCCATTATTCCCAAACACCTTTTTCTCAACTCTTGAGAGTTCAGTGAGGATTTAACATCCTCCATACTAATGGTATCTTTTCCATAGAGTAATGTAGTAACAAAATGATCATAGGAAGGAGGCAAAGAACGCAACAAAATAAGGGCTTAATCTTCTTCATCAATTTTAATATCAGTATTTTTCAAATACATAATAATAGAATTGAAATTATCAACATGTTCCTTAAGAAGCATACCTTCCTTCATACGAAGGGTGTAGAGTCTCTGTTTCAGGTAAAGTCTGTTGGTGAGAGATTTCGTCATGTACAGACTCACCAATTTCAACCACAACTTTACTGTCGTGTCTTCATCAATAATTTCACGCAGCACCTCATCGGCTAGATTCAGGAGAATCGCACTGCGCACCTTTTCATCGAACTCATCCTTGTCTTCATTGGACATAGTTTCTGGCAACTTGTCATTCCCGAACAGCACCTTCTTTAGACCTTGCTGAGTAATCAGGGCCTGCATCTTGATGCGCCAAAGACTGAAACTAATCTTGCCATCAAATTTCTCAATTTCATATCTAGTCGACATTTCAAAAAACTCCCCAAAATATTTCTCGGTGAATAGTACCATATTTGTGAACAGTACCCTAAAAGTATATGTGAAACAGTACCGTATGTGAGAACAGTATGTGTACACAATACACGAACCGAGCTCTGATACCAGTTTGTTACGAAATAAGGATCGAATAGGAGTTTATGAGAGTAAGAGAAAAATAAAATAACAAGAAAAAATAAAATGGCACACACACAAACGAGATAAGAATTTATGTGGTTCGGCTGTGCCTACATTTACGGGGAGAAGACAGAACAATATTTCATTATGAAAATAAAGAGATACAGTGTTTAAGTAGCTCACACCCAAAACCCAATTATACCCAAAACTCTCTCACACTTTCACTTTCTATATTGAGTAAACACTTCTCAATTGTTGGATGATTAAAACACCATAGGAGCAAGGCTATTTATAGCCAAAATGTCATCACTGTTCGTGAACTTGGAGACCACACGTGGGAAAGCTTGCTGAGTACAATTCTTGGAGGCCAAGTTGATGATGCAGCAAATGATGTAATGGGTGATGAAAAAACAACTCGCTGAGTTGGCAGAATTTGAGCCATGAATTCAACAGCTACCCTTCATTCCACTCATTGTAAGCATCACTTTTAAACACTAGGATCTTTCCCAGGTCTTACAAAATTTGATCTAATGCTCGATACTTGTTGTGCAGATAATTCTTTTGGTGGGGACAAAAGAATTAAAAAACTGAAGATTCGCAGCCGGCTTGTACCAGATGAAGTTGAGATTTATTTTGAAAACCTTGTTCCCCTTCGTGAATCGTGATGATGGTGAGTGACGGAAGAGAAGTTGAAGAAGAACAATATAAAGTAGAGAAGGCAAGTAATTGTTCTTTTCATTCCAATGCCTAATTTCTTTACATTGCGTTACTCAATCTTGCTTGGCATTGTTTCTTTGAAATTTTGATCCTTTAAGTGACATGATCGAATATATTTTTTGCAGTAAGAGTTGGTCTCTTTGGTGTTGTATAGGGCTATGAAGTATTTTCTCTATCACATTGCAAGTCCTAAGGTCAGTATCAGGCTCTCACCTACTAGCAGTACATTTTACAAGAGGTTTTTATTTTTTATTTTTCTTAGAGATATTTTCCTGTCCAAGAGGTTCACACTGTTGACTGGTGCTATAAGAAACTTGAAGAAGTAACAACGTAGGAGCAAGATGGAGAAGTAGGTTAATAAATTTTTGGCAGCATCTTTTTTAAGTGGACTTGATTTATTTCCTTTTTACTTGGTTTATCGGCTAGCTTATGTGGTCAGGATTTTGTTGTCCTACATGAGATTTCTCCTGTTTTTACTAATTTCCATCTCCGCCAAACTATAAAACAGCATGATTTCTTTTGAAATTTCTCAAATCTCATAAAAAGTGGTTATATGGAGATTTTGGGCGATGAGTTAGGCTTGTCAATAATCTCACTGAAATCTTAGGAAAAAAAAAAAAAGACTTTTATCACTTATGCGCCATCCCCATCCTGCTGATTGATGCAAAAGATTTTTTTTTTTTTTTTGCTTGGAAGGTGATGCAAAAGTTTACTCTCATTTACTATTATTATTTTTTTGGGTGGTAACACTCTCCACCCACTTCAGGGGTGGGACAATTCCCTTAGGCCAAAAGGCAAAAGTTATGTAATCCATTCAGTTGACCTATCATATAATCTATATAATCTCTGATCTAATTCAGCAACTGTCAGATTTGGGATTCAGAGTTTTTTGCTTACCATTGGTACTGAATAGTAAAGGGATTTATCTCACTCGGCTAGCATTCTTGGTTTGAATTTTCGTTCTAAATAGCATTGTCCATGTAATAAACTCCGTTTCAATTATTTGTATCTCTTATTTTATTTTTATTTCACTCATATTGTTTTTCCCTCACAGAATGCATTTCAAATTGCCTTCTTTGTATGGGCATGGGTAAGTTATTAGCTTTTCCTTTTCAATGTTCTAATGAAAGCTTTAGTATTTCTCATTTTATTTTTATTTCACTCATATTGTTTTTCCTCACAGAATGCATTTCAAATCGCCTTCTTTGTATGGGCATGGGTAAGTTATTAGCTTCTCCTTAGGTTCTTAATGTTTAAGTTCTGTTTATTTTTCACTTAAATTTGATCTTGTTCCATGTTTTTTTATTTATTTTAAATCTGGATCAAAATTTATTGCTTGGATGAGTCACATTATTGGCAGTTTTTGGAGTACCAGCACTTCTACAATTTACCTTGTGAATTTTTTTATATAATCATGAGAGAGTAGGTTGAGGTGATAGCTCTGAATATTTAGTTAATACTGTGTAATCTTCTTGGTTAATGGATTATTTGAGTTGGTATGTTTTGTTGAATATTTGGCTAATTGTACTGTGTTGTAAACATTTTATTGTGATAATGGTTTATTAAATGGCTTATATGATCTCTCTCTCTCTCTCCTCTTATTTGAATTGGATTCTTTGCAGGGCTCTGAGAATCATCTAATGCCAAGGACTGACTCTTGATTACTTCAGGACAACTTCATTTACATCTCCATCTGTGTACTTGAAAGCCTTGACTTTAATGTGTTTTAAGAACATAATGTGTTTTAAGTACTATTTCCTTAATTCGTTGCATGTATTTTGTTTGTATTTTGTTCACAAATATTAGAAAGAAAAAAAAAAGTTTGAAGTTTGATGAGTTCTTTTGAAGAAACTAGTAGTTATGTTACCTTTGGAATTGTATGCTTACATTGTGAAAAATTCTTTTGATTGTACAATTTGGATGGTATTTTTAATTTGAACATGGTACAATTTGGTGGTTGCATAAATTTATTAGTAGACATTTGGAGTTTTATAAAGAGGTTTTATAAATGGGTTATTTAGAAGAAAAAAAAAAAAAAAACCTGGTAATGACTATTTACCAGCGCTTTTTTAAAGACCCATTGCAAGTGCCCATATCTTCTTGTCTCGACAATCAAATTCACCTAGAGGGATCCTTTGAATAAGCTTAATGTCTTCATGGCTAAATAGTTGCTGCAATAAAGGAGTGCTCTAGCTCCTGGTATGTGGAGCAATATGTTCATGCACCCTTTGATCCCACAACCAATATGACATGAAGATTGGACTTTAAAAGCCACACTTCTTGGAATCCACCAATCAGACCATATATTAACACTCCTACCATTAGCTACATTCCACCCAAAACCCTTTTCAATGATCGCTTTACTAGAAATAATACTTCTCCGTACCCAAGAAGCTCCTCTCTTCAATCTTGATTGCATAAAGGAGGAATCCGGAAAATATTTAATTAGCTTTAAACACTCTTGTTAATAAAGAGTCCCCACCTACTTCTAGCCTCCAATCTGTTTGGCCAAGAGAAACAAATTAAAACTTTCTAATTCTCTGAATCCCAAACCCTCTGCCTTGCTTTTACACATAGTATCCCATTTTGTCCAGCAAGCACCTTTGTGATTGTTTGAACTTAACCACCAAAATTGAATAATTCAATCTGCTTCTTAATTTTTGACAAACACACAATGGAATCTAATCACACTTTCAGTTCTAGTTTTCTTAACATTACATCAAATAAATAAACCATCAAAATTTGTTCTATCTTTTCAAAAAAACAACAATAAGAATCAAATTCATTATTATTGTTGTTTTTTTGAAAAGATAGAGCAAAAAGAAAAGGGGTAAAGCCCAACCCAATAACCAAGTACCCAAAAATACAACCCAACACCATATGATAATAAATACAAGTTCCAGGAAAAAACCATACAACTTCACAATATTCCAAACCACCGATTACTAGAAGGAAGCAAATACAATTGATATTTAAAATCAAACTATTTCTCTTTCTTCACTATCATTATTATCAGTTTTGTCTTAATTCCATATAAATGAAGTCGGCTACGTAAATTTTCTTCTTTCAAAATTTTCTATTACATGTCAATTTACCTACTATATTCTACTTACATTTAAAATCGAACTTGTGGAGGAAAATTTCAGCATATAGGCAAATAGGAGACGATGCAACCACTAGCTTAATGCATCATATTGAAAAACCCATCGACACTAGTCCCATCATTTGATGAGTTAAACTGGGTATTGTAATAAAATGGATATCTAGGATCCATGGAATCAGAATGAGTTTAAAAATAATAGCTAAGATTAAGAAAGTATAAGATGAAATAGCTTAATTAATGGTAGAAAATATAGATGGGTTAGATGTGATGAATGGTGGTAGGAGTTGGGGTATTTATAGAAAAGAAATGATTTTTTAATTTTTTAATTTTTTTTTAAATTTCTTTTTTAGAAATTGGTTTTTTAAACTTTTTTCTTAAAATTATAGCCATTAAGGCACTTTTTGTATCTATCAAACAGTGGCTTAACGGTCAAATGCACTGTTTGTGGCAGAATTTAAAGTTTAAAGCAAAAAAAGTTTAAAAAAATCAAATTTTAAGGGGAAAAAAAAGGTTTTTAAATTTATTTTTGGTCCAAATAAAAAAAAAAAATTGGACAAAATAGTGCCTAAACAATATATTTTTTATTTAATGAATTTTCTTTTTTTTTATATAAAAAATAAAAAAAAAGGAGCTCAAAATCACCCATATTTGGGTTTTTTTTTTTTTTTTTCCAAAAATACTGGTTGCAAAACAGGGCCTTATAGCCTTGTTATAGACCGTTGCTGCCAGTTTCCAAAAAGAAAAAAAAGGCTCCTCCAAAACGACATCATTTAGAAAAAAAAAAAAAATTAAATAAAGAATGATCAGGTTCAGGCTTGCGGTATTCCGTGAGCCAACCCACGAGACCATGTGGGCCTGCCCAATTACCGCTAGGCTGATGGGACGCTTCTGGGCCATTTGGATCGTCAAAAAGGGCTTCCCCGGGCCTGGTGCACTTGCTCTTAGCCCTGTTGCATTAAAGATAGAGAGAACAAAAGAGAGAGAAAGATCTTGGGACATAGAGGTCACCACTAAACATTACTTTTCTAGACACTCAATGTATAATATATGAGGGGAAACATATGTTTCAACTTAAGTGTATGTTCTTGATTGAATCAACAAGCATGGATGACCAATTAAGTATACATTGTCTAAATAACCTAATGAATAGTACAATAAATCAAATCAAGCCATTAATCCTTCCTTTAAGTTCGCAATCCAAACACATCAAATGGTTAGAAAAATATAGTACTTGCATTCATAAGTATGAAATATCAAACAACAAGCATGGATTGTCCTCTCATCTAGGAAAGTAATGTATCTACACTACAACTAATCTAAGGACATGAAAATTAAACTAATTAAGCTAAGGGAGTTGCACAATCCATCAAGAAATGAGCATGAACCATCAAACAAATCACAAGAGTATTCTAATTAAGCACTATGCCTTGATAATCTCTAGATTCATAGTATCAACACACATAGACATGCATCAATATCACAAAACCAAGAGATAAACACATGAACATCTACTTTAGCATACATAGACATATGGATAAAATGAAATGATCAATTGGAAGTATTAATCAACACAAATCATTGTAAGAACAAGATTCATATATAAATCAAGTGTCAAGACAACATTATAACACAAATTCCCTTAAAATATACAACATCAAGGTATAGAAGGCATGTTTAGGGCTAACTCTAGCCCCAAGAAGATGCTTAGGCTCTCATTGATGTAGTCCTCCAACCCTCAAGGGCTATCTCCATGGTAGAGGTGATCTCCTTCTTGATGGAAACCCTAGAAGAATGGAAGAACTCCCAAAAATAGTGTATGTCTCTCTAAATCTAGTCTCCTCTCCAAGATTGATTCTCTCTCTAGTATGATATCGAGATATAAAGATATGTGAATCTATGATGCAAAAGTGGCTCAAATTCCTTATATAGATAGTCACACCAAATGGTCTGGACTCGTGTACTAAGGCTCCTCCAATGATTGTACCATGAGCCATCTTTTAATGAGCTGGACTCTATTTTAATTAGGATTTGAGGAGGTTCGATTGATCGAACTTTGATGAGATCGATCGAACATTGGTGAGACCCATTGAATGTTAGAGAGATCGATCCATCTATGGCGGCGCCTTTTTGAATAAAGACAAATCTCTGAGATATTTTGGGATATTTTGAGAAAAGGACAAAAGTGGTAGGTGGGATGGTAGGTGAGGATAAGATCAAACAATTTCGATCGATCTGAGGAAGTTTGGATCGATCGAAGGTGGTGGATTCTTTTGGATAAGGACAAAGGCTTAGATCCATCTTGAAATGGCTAGATCGATCACTTGCAGATCGATCGAAGATTTGTTGAGATCGATCGAAGATGCTGTTTTTCCACACTTCGCTTCCACTTTGCTCCATTCTTCCATTTAGCTTGAGATTGCTTCTTTTATGCTCTAATTTGATTGAATTGACTTATTTTGGGGATAAATGCCTGAAAAGGGCAATAACATGAAATTAATCTAAGACGAAAAAGTAAGATAGATAAAGGTCCTAGAATACCTAAGCTTAAGGGGTTTAAATGCGCATTTTTCAACGTTCATCATTACTATTTCATGATAATCATTGTTCACTATGATAAATGATCGATGCTAAAAGAATAAGTTAATTCAAGTTTGCTTAAGCTTTGAAAGACCTCATCACTTGTGTTAAAAATGCTAAGACCATGCATATCAATTATATGATTCATATTGGTCAACTATTAAGGAATGAAAAGCCTTCATTACCATTAGTTGGTAACGGACATTAGAACCCCAGAATGCACGTCATGAAAAACTATATTTTTGGCTAAGTATGAAAATGGCTAAGTGTGAAAAATGATTTTTGAAATAATGATTTTTTCAAAATAATTTTTCCTGGTAATAACTTCTTATATTTCAAATAGCCTAAACTGATTTTATCAAAATTTATGACCAAGTCTACACTGATCTACATAAGGATTTATTTTTACCAAAACTGTCAGAAATCCAAATTTGTACTAAAATTGAATTTCTAGATTTAGTTGGATTTCTATTTTCTTATATTTTTTATTAAATCCAAATAAGGGGTACTTCCTTATTTACATTGTAAATTTAAAGTAAATGGACATATCAAAATGGTAAAAACATTCCAGTTGCCAATTTTTCCATAAAATTTCCAACTTCCAGCAACAGAGCCGACTCCCAATTTAAGAAATAGGCTCTCAGAGGTCGGGAGACGACTCCATGCCATGGAGAGCGGGCTCTCAGAGTAAAGGGAGCTGACTCCCTTCAAGGACAGAGCTGGCTCTGCTCCTGTGATCTAAGTTCAACGGCTCTTTAATTAAAAATTTGAATTATCCTCCTTTAGCACCATTATTCAGCTCTTAAAACCTTTATAAATACTAAGGGAATGTCTGAATTCATTAAGCCAATATTTAGAGACCTTATTAAACATTAAAAAGAGCTTTTGCCCTCACATATTCTCTTTATCTCTCTCATTCATTCATATATTATATTTGAGATATTCAACTAAGGATTCAAAAGGCTTTTGCTCTTGTTTGAATCTTCATAGAGTTTTTGCTCCATTATACACTTGAGAGATTCTATTGAATTCATAAGAGCTTATATTCTTCACATATTTCATCTTCTCTCATTCATTTCATTCATAGAGTTTGAGCTTCATTTATATTCATACTACTCTAGTTGTGAGGCTTGATTTGAATATCAATCTTTGAGAGATATATTCATATGCAACAAATCTGATATTCATTTGTAAGGGCTCGTGTAGCCCAAGGAAGAAGAAGCAAGCTAGCTTCAATTTGTAAAGGTTAGTATGACCCAAAGGAAGACT